AATCAGAAATATATGGTAGCTGCTATCACAGTAACAATAATAAATGAGTCCTTAAACTTCACTTTCCATGATATCAGAGAACTGTGGGAACAGCTTTTAGATCGTTCACCTCAAAGCATGAGGACCATGTGTATGCATACTCTGCAAGTTGAAGTCAGTGACATTATGTCTATAAACCTCTTTACAAAGAAATTAAGTGGCAGCCAGGCATTTGTGCAACTATTTTCCCTAATTTCATCAAATCAGTTACTGATCTGCAATCACAAAAAGCCTTGCTTCAATTTTTGCATATCACAAATATAGCTCATACAGACTGGTAGGTATCCATATTGTTTACATTCCCAATTTATGTCTAGGGTGTCATATTAAACTGTGGAAACTGCATATTACTTGATTATCTAATCAATTGTATTATTTGTAACTATATATTTTGCTTAATAAAAAATGTGGTTGTGTGTATATATACATACAGCCTTTCATAAAAAGAAGAAAGAAAGAAAGGAAGAAAGAGAAAGGACTGATAAAAATCTATTGGCAGCATAGTCTTGGAATTCAATTATGTGCATCAAAACTACAAGGATTTTAACATTCTCATATCTTTATCATTTATTACATAGGAAAATAAACCTAAGAATACTGGGTTTTAATCTTATAACTATGATATACCAAAGAAATTGAATAACCACTAATATCACAAGATCATAGTTTTTAATTTCCTTATTCAATTTCATAGCACTATCAAATTATTACATGTTTAACATCATATTCAATAAAATCATTCAAAAATATATTTAAATAAAACATTATATTGATTACCTTGGATTCTCATATGAATAGAGGAATAAAACACTTAAGTCATACTAAAAAAAGACGGTTTTACACTGTTTGTAAAAAGGAACATGTTCCAACGAACAGAGAAAAGAAAGCACATTCTAATGACGCAAATAATTTCTGAAGTAGGACCTATCACAGATTAATATTGAGAACAACTGAAAATAAATGGCAAAATCTTTGTAACGTAAATTAAAACTTGAGCCGAGGTTCAGAGACATGAAGTCTCACTGGCAACTGAAGAAGATGAAAAACAAACTGGTGAATGCAGTTGCAATCCTTCCTGTGTGTTAGCTTGCATGTTAAAGCAGCTGTATGTATTATGACAGGGACTATATTTTGAAATATTTGTGATATTTCAATTCAATAACATAACTATGCAATAATCATATATTGATATGTTATACAAAATAATATTGTATAAAATAGCATAATAACTAAATAACTACCTTACATCATACAATGTATTGGCTAATATTGTATCAAAATATAATGATCTATACTATGCCATAGTCTAAATAATATGATCATAATGTACTTAGTATACAGGAAGGCTTGAAACAGTTATGCAATCACTTATTTACCATTTCTGGCAGCTGCAAGTGAAAAGATACCAGGCTTCTACACCTTGGCTTAAATTACTAGCTGTATCAGGCAAGTGACCATATATCTTTTTATGTCATCTACTGCCTATTTCTGAATATTGCAAAATATATATAGAGAGAGATATCTCACATATACACATTCTCTCGATCACACACTCTTTTTTCTCCCAAACACAATCACAAAACAACACACACACACACAAAAACACACATACAAGTAAATGTACACAACATATAAACGTACAGGTACAGACAGGTACAGGAATAACATACACACATGCACACCACACACACACACACAAACTCACTCACTCAAAACACAACACACAAACTCACTCACTCAAACCACACACACACACAACAAACTCACTCACTCAACACACACACACACACACAAACTCACTCACTCACTCACACAAACACACACACAACACACACAAACTCACTCACTCAACACACACACCACACACACCAAACTCACTCACTCAACACACACACACACACACACAAACTCACTCACACACACACACAAACTCACTCAAACACACAACTCACTCAACACACACACACACACTCACTCACACACACACACACACACATCACAACACACACACAAACTCACTCAAACACACACACACTCAAACACACACACACACACACACAAACTCACTCAACACACACACACCACACAAACTCACTCAAACACACACACACACACTCACAAAACACACACACACACACACATCACTCAACACACACACACACTCAAACACACACTCTCACTCAAACACACACACACACACACAGATATACAGTATAACCATATATATATATTTAAAATGTTTACATCAAAATAATGACATACATCAAGTCTACATCTGTTCTAATACCCACGTTTTCTATAGCAATTACTTGTTATTTATAGCACTAAAATGCCTGTGTTCACAACTCCACAAAAAGAATATGGCTTTATTGTAGCGTGCTGTATCTATACATTTACATCACCTTTTCCCTTTTAACATTTTCAAATGTACTGTCCACAATGTTTTGTCTTTAGGTTATTTCCTGTCTTCATCTACTAATTTTCTACTTTAGTGTATTCCATAAATACATAATCTAAAAAAATGACAGTAATTATACAACACTAAAAACCTATAGCAACCTCTGAGCTTGATCATGATAACTTTGCAATCTTTTAACAAAAAAGGGAATCTTGGTTATCTCAAAAAGGGAATCTTGGTTATCTTCACACTGTAAATTTATCATTTGTTGGCAATATCATGATTGTATATTGCAGCTATCATGCGGAACATGAGAACTGACAAGACTATCCAGTGGATCCATGCATCCTCTTTGAAGCAAGCCACTTGGGTATTGTGGTTCTTGCATGACAATCCCAGTTTCTGCAAGATGTAGTCAACTCCATTAGGTTTCAAATTCTTTGTGGCCCGCGACAGCAGTCTGGGAATAGAAGAGTACCTGAATAGTATATGAACAAGAACAGTTCTTCTAAACATCTGTTTTCTTTTAATACATGTCATATAGAAAAGGAAGAGGAAAAGGAGGAAAAGGAGGAAAAGAAGGAAGGAGGAGAGGAGGAAGAGGAAGAGGAGAGGAGAGGAGGAGGAGGATAGGAGGAGAGAGAGAGAGGAGGAGGAGGAGGAGGAGGAGGAGGAGAGGAGGAGGAGAGGAGGAGGAGGAGAGGAGAGGAGGAGGAGAGGAGGAGAGGAGGAAGGAGGAGGAGAGGAAGAGGAGGAGGAGGAGGAAGAGGAAGAGGAGAGGAGGAAGAGGAAGAGGAAGAGGAGAGGAAAAGAGGAGAAGGAAGAGAGGAAGAAGAAGAAGAGGAAGAAGAGAAGAAGAAGAGGAAGAAGAAGAAGAAGAAGAAGAAGAAGAAGAAGAAGAAGAAGAGAAGAAGAAGGAAGAGAAGAAGAAGAAGAAGAAGAAGAAGAAGAAGAAGAGGAAGAAGAAGAAGAAGAAGAGGAAGAAGAAGAAGAAGAAGAAGAAGAAGAAGAAGAAGAGAGAGAGAGAAGAAGAAGAAGAAGAAGAAGAAGAAGAAGAAGAGAGAAGAAGAAGAAGAAGAGGAAGAAGAAGAAAGAAGAAGAAGAAGAAGAAGAAGAAGAAGAAGAAGAAGAAGAAGGGCCACAGGAGGAGAAGAACAAAGTGAAAGAGGAAAAGGAATAAATGGAAGAGGAGGAAGTGGAAGAGGAAGAGGAATAAGTGGAAGAGGAGGAGGAAGAGGTAGAAAAGGAAGAGGAAATGGAAGAGAAGGAGGAGGAAGGGAAGGGAAGAGAAGGAGAGGAGGAGGAGGGGAGGAGGAGGAGGAGGAGGGAAGGGAAGGGAAGGGAAGGGAAGGGAAGGAAGGGAAGGGAAGGGAAGGGAAGGAAGGGAAGGAAGGGAAGGGAAGGAAGGGAAGGGAAGGGAAGGGGGGAAAGGGAAGGGAAGGGAAGGGAAGGGAGGGAAGGGAAGGGAAGGGAAGGGAAGGGAAGGGAAGGGAAAGGGAAGGGAAGGGAAGGAAGGAAGGGAAGGAAGGAAGTGGAGAAGTGCTTGTTTTCCCTCAGTTGAAGAGGATGGTAAACTATTGCTTCGATCAAGAGATGGTAACAGTCCATCTGCAGGAAACAAAAAATAAAACAAATGTAATATAAATATGACATAAGCAATGTAAAAATATAATCATATTGATATTTCTTTTTTTAAATATGAACTACATAGTTAAATACATCACAAAAATATTTCAACTAAAAACTGTTACTTACTGTCTAGTTCAGATGTACAGAATGTATTGTGCAGAATTGAGGAGGGAATACCATATTCCTAGTAATGCAACAAACTGTTGCCATGGAGACATGCTGAGCATGAGTCTGCTCCATGACTCCTTAACTGAATGTCAAGTTTTGTACAATGTGTGTATCACATGGTGCTGTAAATGACAATAGAGTGTCATTACTGATGGGAGGCAATATCCCATATAAACATAAATTATCTAACAGTTATTGAGATTGGTAGAATGTTAAAAGGAAGGAAGGATTAAAAGAAAGCAAAGCAAAGAAATAGTTGTTCATTTCATTCTCTTCACTGTAACCTACTTATAAATGATAAAATGAGAAATTAGTACCGTAATGGTTTCGAAAAGGAAATTACAAAGGAAAACATTGTCCAAGGGTATGTTCATTATCACTTATGGTCTCCTGGCACTTCTTGAACTTCAGAGGTAAAGTTGATATATGGTTCCTGAAGGCTGAAAAAGGCCCATGATTTCCTCTTGAAATTTAACCCATGGAAGCAAGCAAGGGATATAGTTTTCCCATGCAGCTCCAAAGACCCTCCTAGGACGGTCCCGGAGTCTGGCAAGGGCAGTGGCAAAGTAGTCAGTCTCAGCCCAGACATTCTGTGTAGGACTCCTTGCCAGTGTCTAAGATGGCGTGCATCCTAACCACTTGGCATTCCAAGAACTGTAAGAATGGAAAACAGTTAAAGGACATGTTTCATTGCCATATGCTAAAGTATAGTAAAAAAAAACATGGAAAACAATCTTTTATTCTAATGCCTTTTACTCGCCATTTT